CAAGTCAATTCCGTCTCCTGGAAAGCTCATGGGGGCTAAGTAGAACTGCGCTCCACAGGGTTTCCTGGGGCTGATTTTTTGAGAGTCGCTGGCCAGGCCTTTCTTCCACGGTGCCTCTGGGCAGACTGGAACCGCCAAGCACTTGGCCACCGGCTGAGTGTGTGACCCATCTGTACCACTCCTAGGGGCTGAGCAGGGCTGCCTGTGCCCACTTTTCAAAGTAGAAAATGGAAAGGCATTGTGTGTGTGTCCCGAGCAAAGTCTATCCTCTGGCCGTGCCCCCCTCCCCACCCCCCACACCCCTGCCCACTCCGGCATTATTTTGAGGAAGGCTCTGAGGTCAAGTCTTATCCCTGCAGTGACGTCCTGCAGTCACTGGGGTGAGAATGCTTCACACTCTCGGCTACTCACTAAAAGGTTGGAGGTTGGAGTTTGCCTCGATCAGTGGTTCACAACCTTCCTCACACCATGGTCCTTTCATACAGGTCCTCATGTGGCGGTGACCCCCCAACCATAACATTATTTTCACTGCTTCTTCAAAACTGTCATTTTGCTACTGTTATGAATCAGGCAACCCTGTGAAAAGGTTGTTGGACCCCCAAAGGGGTCACAACCCACAGGTTGAGAACGGCTGGCCTAGAGGCACCTTGGGAGAAAGGCCTGGGATTGGCTTCTGAAAACAAAAACAAAACAACAGCCAGCCATTGAAACCCTACGGGCACAGTTCTGCCCGAGGCCCACGGGCCTCTGGGAGTCTGACATGGCCCCAGGGCCATGGGGCAGCCCCTGCTGTGAAGCACCTGCTGTCTCAGCAGAGCCTGGGGTCAGCTGACTCTGGCAAAGCCAGGGTAGAACGCCAGGCTTCCCCTTCACACCCACTGTGCCCGTCAAACAAGGTCCCACTGGCCCGGGGCACAATCCTACTTGGCCAACTTCCTGTCAGGCCTCCTGACCTGGCTCAGGGGGTTTCTACTGCCCTAGAGCCTCAGACCAGGCACTGTTGCTAGCGCATGGACCCGCGGCCATCTTTCACCTGTCTTTCTCCCTGACGGGACTTTTATTTTCAGCTCACAACAGCTGGGGGGAGTGCCACCCAGTCTCGGCCTCCTGCTGGGTCAGCACATTCCTGCCCCTGGCAAACTGCCCCTGGGCCCAGGCCACAGGGGGGCAGGCAGTGAGGAGGGCAGGGTCAGGTTGCACCATGACCATGTCTCCTAGAGCTCGGCCTGTTCTGCCCACGGTCACACCTCAGGCCAGCAGGGGGTGCCAATCTCTGCTAGTGCAGGGTACCAAAGCCAATCCCGCCTCCCCCCCACACACCCTTTTCGAGCCGGCCTGTGACAATGCTGAAAGCCCAAGAGACCCTGCCATCTGGCCTCACGGAATCTGCCAGACTCCCTGAGCGCCCGGCGGGGGCTGCTCTGAAGAATCTACCCGAGGGAGCAGCAGGAGTCTTAAGGTCTGGGTCTGGATTCTCTCTTGTGTGGTCTTGGCGTGTAGTGGTGCGGGGCCTCGCCCAGCCTCTTTCTTCTGTAAGGCCCACGTAGGATCTTAGCGGGAAAGGCTATCGAGACCACCTAGCCCCACTTCTTACCCAAAGCAGGGATCCCCCTCCAGACCCTCAAAACATGGCCACCCTTGCAATACCAGGGATCCGATTACCCTACAAGGCAGCCTGCTTCTCCCAGCTGCATCTGTTCTTAGCCAGCGCCATCACAGCTGCAATGCACACCGGCTGCTAGACACACTCTCAAGCCACATTCACCTGCGTTGTTTCATCTTGCTCCTCACTGTTCTGCGAAGGTGACCCAAGATTCCCTTTGTACAGATAAGGGAAACAGAGGCTCTGAGAGGCAAGTACCTCATTCCACAGCTAATAGGGGGCTGTCTTCTTGGAACTTCACCCCAATGGCGCTTGCTCGGCAGCCTCGCCTTGCAGAGTAGGGCCTTTTGTTTTGTTTTGATCCCGGTGACGCCTCTCATTTGGGGCCCAGGAGCCAATGAGCTGAGCAAGAGCGGAGATGATCTCTTGATCATCTTGAATCCCCATCCCCAGAGGGGTCTTGGTAGCAGGGCGGTGAAGCGCTTGGCTGCTAACCAAAGGATCAGCAGTTGGCATCTCCCAGCTGCTCTGAGAGAGAAACACGGGGCAGTTTGCATCCATAAGGATGCTCACCTGGGCAGTGCAATGAGGCAGCTCTGCTCGGTCCTACAGGTGTGTTGGAACAGACTGGACAACCAGGGAGTTTTCGGCCTGGGCGGTGCCTGACAGGTCGAAAGCTGCAGGTGCTCAGTGGTCCAGCCACATTGTACTACCCACACCCACCCCTTCACCAGTTAGACACCCTGGTGATACACCCCTTTTCTGGCCCTTGGTTTCCTTCCTGGAGAAAGCAGAGGGTTAGACTGAGCAGCCCCTGCCGGCCTGGGGGGATCCCGTGCTAAGTGGCCTTGGGAGAAGTTCCCTCAAGAGAAGCCCTCCCTGTGGTGAACTCGTCCCCATGGCCAAACTGCCAGCTCCCCAGCCAGCCGGGTTTCTACTTCTGTCCCCACGCCCACCCCCCTTCCCCAAGAAGCAGCAACTTTAACATCTCAACATGCCTCTGTTGGTCAGAAAGCCTTCTTACGAACTGTGTGCTTTTCTTTTGTAGGATGGAAATATATTTCTGTTTTATCGGGGAAGGTGGTCCTCCAGGACGGACATGCAGGGACAGGTCAGGGAGGAAGAGGACACCCACCTCGCCGGCCGGGTCAGCCACATCAATGGGCTGACAGCTGTCATAGCCAGCCCGCCCACACAGCCTCGGTTCATGTGTTATTACACTGTCCACTGAGCTCCTTGTCCTGAAAACCTGCCCAGGAGAATGTCCCCAAGGAGGGCAGCTTCAGGCCCTCTTTTCTCCCGGGGTGAGGATTCTGCTTTCCAACAGAAAGTCACTCCTGAGCAGGCCCTGAGGGGCAGCTGGCCCACCGAGCTCTGAGCTGTGCTCCTTGCCTGGGAGGGGAGGTGGTGGTGGTGGAGCCTGGGCCATCGGTCCTGGGAAGTCACAGGGACCCTTGGTTCCACTGATGTCTAAAGTCCCCAAGAGTCAGGTGGGGCTTGGCGGGACTGGGGCTCCGGGTCACGGCTCTCCTGTAGATGGCACCTGACAGCACACAAGATCCACACACCTTGGAGATTCTGTTTAAGGGCAGGGCAGCCACCAGACAAATGTTACGGTTACCAGGGAGTGACCCCATAGAGTGGCCCAATTCCCAGTCACATGGCTCACTTGGCCACAAGGATGAGAGGTGAAGGTGAAGACTCAGGCTGTCCCCCACACCACCTGCCCTTCCACCCTTTCCTGACTGCAGAAGTGCTCAGCTCCTGAGAGCCCGTGTGTCTGCGATTCCCCCAGGGCTGTCTGGGAGACCCTGAGTCCTGACACGCCCTGCCAATCCGTGCCCGCCTGCTCTCCACACGTCCCAGACCACCCGTGATGGATACACAGCAGTGGGTCCCTAGGAGGGTGACCCCCAACAGCACCTGAGGTGTTGCCTGTATCCACACACCTCTGCATTGCACCCCGCACCCATGAATCCTCTGGGGATGAGGCCTGGGCTGGGCAGGCAGGAGTCAGGGCCAGGCTATAAAGGCACTGACCAGGGTGCTAGGCTTCATGGGGAACCAAATTCAACACCACACTCACTGCCATCGAGTCAATTCTGACTCATCGCAGCCCTACAGGACTGTAAGACTAGGAAGAACTGACCCTGTGGGTTCACAGGACGGTAACTCTTTGCTGGAGTAGAAAGCCTCATCTTTCTCCTGTGGAGCAGCTGGTGGCTTCAAACTGCTGACTGTGGTTAGCAGCCCACTATGTAACCCACTAGGCTACTAGGGGTTAATCTGACTAAAAATCTCATCAAAACAAACAAAATATCAAATAGTCAACACAAGTTTACGTAGAAGTTCTCACACTGGGTGCGGCGAAATCCCATGACAGATCTCACACTAGGTGTGGTGAAATCCCATGACACTACAACTTCAGAAACTAACTCAACACCAATCCACTGACTCACAGCGACCCTATAGGGCAGAGTATCACAGACCCACAGGGCTCCCAAGGCTGTGGAGCTTCATGGGAGTGGACTTCTCCAGGGGAGCGGCTGGTGGGTTCAAACCACTGAGCTTGGGGCTAGCAGCAGCGTGCTTAACTACTGAGCCATCAGAAAGGAACTAATGTTCCTGTCTTACTATGCATCTTTTTAATTAGATGATCTCCTTCTGTTTGTCCAGTTGTTATTTGAAATAAAGTAAATTAATAAATAGACTTTTCCCTGGTTCTATTATATTAAAAGACATCCCTGATGCTCTCTGCCCTGGGGCATGAAAATATCTTCCCCTGGCCCTGGCCCTGGCCTCCGCATGCTTAACAAGGTCCTCAGGTCATTTTTAATGCGGCAGCCTCCTGCCGGGGTCTGACAGCCTGTGGCAGACATCTGAGGTAGAGGTGCAGTGTCCCTATGGCCTTGGCCTTGGCCTCGGCAGAAATTAGACCCAGAGCTCGTATGGCCTTTGGTGTACAGAGTCCGGGGTGAAAGTTGGGGTTAGGGATGAGGAGGAGAGAAGGTATGAAACACCCACAGGCAAAGGGGCCAGGAGAGCCATATAGTGCAGGTGCCTTGTAAGAGATGCTCAGGTGTGCTTACCTGAGAGGTCAGCCCTTCCAGAAGTATGAGATCAGAGCTGGGAAGAGCAGCAGGCCCCCCTGGCCCAAGTCCAGCCTTGCCTGCTATCTAAGGCTTGGCCCAGGCAGGCTATCCTGCCACCTCCCAGTTCCCCTAACAATCCAATGGAGGACACAACCTCTTGGTGCAGCCTGTTCTACATGCCCCCAAGCAGAGTCTCCAGACCAGCTTCCCTTCCAGGTCTGAGCGGTGCTGTGCACCTTGGCTGGCCTGGCCTGGTCCAGTGGGAGTCTCTGTTGAGGGCAGCTCCATGGCCCATGGCCAGGTGGCATGCCACATGGTAGGCAGGGAGGGCTGGTGCTGGGCTCCCTCTCCATTGATGAAGGCAAGGCCCAGAGGGCGAGAGGTGGGGAGAAGTGAAGTGTTACCTACCTGAGCTTCCGGCGCTCTCAGAAGCACTCCTGGACATCTTAGGGGGGCCATGTTTGCCACTGGCCCTCCCAGACCCTGGTGGTGGCGGGCCAGAGGGAGCAGGGGTACCATCGCCCCTGATGGTGGTGAGGTCCTGCATGCTGAAGCTCCGGAGTCTTTCCGATAAGGCACCCTGTCCCTGGATACAACACAGGAAGGAGCACGCGTCAGAGGCCTGACCCATAGACTCATGGGGAGACTCAAAGGCCAAGAGGGTGTTCTGATGATCAGCCAGGTGCAAAGGGAGACCCGGAAGGGCTCTAGAGAGAGGCAGGGACGTGGGAGAGGTTGCTGGCAATCACTACCCAAGGGGCTGAGCAAATAGGGGCTCAGCACTTGTTCCTCTGCCACTGTACGACCTGCTGCCGAGAAACTAGAACTTGAGACAGACCCAGACCCAGGACACAGTTCCAGGCTAGAGTTCCTCCTGCTCTCTGGAGGTGGTTTGCCTCTCTTGCTTTTATCTAAATAAAACTCTTCCTGTAGCTGCATTTTCCTCAGTTCCCAGCACACAAGAATCGGTCAGAAAACCTAAGCGGAACATTCTGTGTCCTCCGTTCTGACTCTTCCCAAGAAATCCCATACACCCGGCGTTTGTCAAGTGTCGGAACCAGAGACTCCGCTGTTTGGCTCACTGCAGTTTCTAAGACAGGTTTCGCTCCACTGCTGCCTTTGAGTGTCGCAAAACACCCGGGAAGGAAGGGTTCAGGAGGGAAAATATGATCTTAAAACAACCTCTGCTGACGTAGCCGGTTCACCTTGGCCGGGAGTCACAGGAGCGATCTGGAGGGGGTGGTTCTTGTGCTTAGGAAAGTAAGGTCAGGCCGTTACGCTTCTAGATGGGAGGTCTCTGCTGTCTGGATAGGAGGCTGTGTGGCAGAGGGAGTGAACATAGCCCTGCAAGCACTAATGGGGGTCTGATGGCCTGTGGCAGACGTTGGAGGTAGAGGTGCGGTTTCTCTACAGCCTTGGTCTTGACAGGAATTAGATACAGAGCTCGTATGGCCTCAGATGTGTGTGTGTGGGGGGTGGTTTCGGGGTGAAATTGGGGGCTAAGTGTGCCTGGGGAGGCAGAGCAGGGCTCGTCTTGGAGAAGGAAGCCTGAGCTGGGGCAGTGGTGTGGTGGGAGGCTGGGGTGGTTGGAAATGAAGATGGAGTTTGGCCAAGAACTGACAGCCAGGTAGCGACCAAGGAAAGGAAGAACTCAGAAACATGGAGGGGCATGCAGACTGGGTGCCCTGGGTACACGAGACAGCGGTGGGGTGTGTGTTTTGTTTGGATATGGACAGAAAGATGGGGCCTACAAGTCTGGAGGACTCCAGGACAGGAGGACAAGAAGGTACACCAACCCGTAAATAAACAGACACAAAATGAATCGGGGCAACTCACAAGCAGGCTCTGGCGTGGTGGTGAGATTGATGAAACCCCCCCAAACGGCTTTCTAGAAGCTTCCAGAGATGGAAGCTTACTCTGGGGACACTGTTCACTTTATGGAAAGAAGAAAAGGACATGAAGAGGGTGGGGGGGGGGCTTTTGATTCACGGAGTGACTTTCGTCAAAGAAGCGAACACAGAGTGGGTTAGATGCGGTAAGGCAGAAACAGAAGGGGCTTCTGGGAGAATCAGAACAAGTGCTAGAATGAAGCAACGATGCTTTGAAACACTAAGGATAGGGGTCTTCAACATCCCAAAGGGACCCAAACTATTCCTGGTATATACAACTAGAATTGCAAAAACAGGCAAAGGGATATTTGTACAGAAATCACCCTTGTTTGCTTCCAACTTGGCTCTAGGATGCTGAGGGTCAGTGTCCCCAGAGTATGAGTGAACAGTAAAAGCTGACTGGCCTTGGCCAAGAAAGTGAGGGCTGGACCCGATGGAATCCTCTCCAAATCAAACAGCTGACCAACCACTACTAAAAAACACCTTGGATCACATCATGGATTCAGAGGAAAGCAGATGACTAAATCATGAGCGAAAAAACCTGGCTCCAAAAGGAGTGAGGAAAACATCTGATGATCCTGAGCCATTTAGCATCGTGTTAAAACTCAGGGAAACCATTCCCCAAGGCATGACTTGACGCGTCTTCCCATTTGCTAGTTTATCTGTTCAGCAATCATTTGTCAAGTATAGACAAGACGCCATGCTACTTGCTCTTAGGGAATAGCAGAAGTACAGTGTGATTTCTGATAAAACCTAAAAGGACATCTAATACACAGGCACACAGAAATGCTAGACCAGAGCACGGCAGGTGAGAGCGAAGGGGGACTTGCATTGGGATTCCAGCCGATCACTTATTAGTCGGGCGACCTTATCTTCTCTCTGCCTCGATTCCCTCGCCTGCAAAGCAGTGCCTCCCGTGAAGGATGGTGGTGGAGAGAAAATGAGATCGCGCCCATACAATACCCACCACACAGCCCTGTGAATATTAAGTGTTGGGAAAATATCAATGAGGAGGCTGCTGCTGCTGCTGCCTGGGTCACGGAGATCCTGTTGGATATCAGACAAAGGAGAAGTCATTTCTGGCCAAAAGGACCAAGAGAAGCCTCGTGACTCCAAGCCTCAATCAAGGACTAACTCTTAGCCATGTAGCCTGTGAGCTCTTGCAAACGCTCAACAACCCATTTGAGAGAAAGCCACCCTGGGCGTCCCTCGCGGCTGTTTTAGAAAAGCACACTATTTCAGCCCCAGAAGGCAGCCAGTCTCAGTGGCACCATGAAGACGGAAGCGCAGGGTTTAGGAAAAGAAGGGGAGAACGAGAGCTCAGGATTAACCACGTGCTGTGTCCGAGGAAATCTTGGTGGATGGAGACCAGGTTCTTGAAAACAAATGAGCCCTTTCTTGTCAAAACACTCTGAGATGGTAGCAATCAATGCGTCTCTCATTTGTAAACCTCTTAGCCTTCTCCATCTCTACCGAAAAACTCCTTCCTATTCTCCTCCTACAAACCTCCACCCAACTTGCCACTTTGGCTCTGCTCTGGAGAACTGCTCTGTGGTACCCCACCCATGTTTCCCATATGCTTCTGGGGGCTACAGAGCTCTTGGTCGGTGCGCTCCATCATTTACCAGCTTACCCCTGGACTGCTGATCCGGACTCATGGGGACTCTGTACAACAGAGTAAAGTTGCCCCATGGGCTTCCCAAGACTATCATCTGTATAGATGCAGATGGTCACACCTTTTGCCTGGGGAGTGGCCGGTGGATTTGAACCACCAACCTTTTGGTTAGCACTTAACCACAGCCAGCAAGGCTTCTTCTACATAACGAGGCTCCCTATTTTATGAAAATAAGTTTAGATTCCCTAAATCTGGAAAAGCTCAATGGTGTATCACCCAGAAAAAAGGATATCTATTTCAATTGGTTTAACTTGGTATTTCCCAAATGTAACTGACCACATTGGGATACACTGCTAGTTGACCATCCAAGATTCGTCCCCGCCCCTATTCCTGAAATAGTGAGAAACACAAAAAACAAACAAGAGATTTCCCAGTCTCCCTTGCAGTTAAGGATAACCATATGATAATGTTCTAGTCAATGAGATGTAAGGGGAAATCTGCTAAGGGATTCTATCCCACTACCATTGAGTTGATTTAGAGGCATAGTGGCCTTATAGGATAGAGTAATACAGTTCCTTTGGGATTCTGGGGCTGTAACTCTTTATAGGAGTTGATAACCTCATCTTTCTCCCACGGAGTGGCTGGTGGGTTTGAACTACTGACCTTATGGTTAACAGTCCAATGCTTACCTGACAGCACCACCAGGGTTCCATAGGGGATTGCTAGTAAAGATACTTTATCTTCCTTATATAGAGGAAGGAGCTCTGGTGGCAGAGTGGTTACACACTAGGCTGTTAACTGCAAGGTCAGCAGTTCAAAACCACCAGCCACTCCTCCGGAGAAAGATGAGGTTTTCTACTCCAGTAACAAGTTACACAGATCAAGAGGTAGTTGTGTGAATGGAAAAAGGGGATACTGCATGGTTTAAAATCAAGAAAGGTATACATCAGAGCTGTATTCTCTCACCATACTTATTCAATCTGTATGCTGAGCAAATCATCAGAGAAACTGGGTTATATGGATAAGAATGTGGCATCAGGATTGGAGGAAGGCTTAACAACCTGTGATACACAGATGACACAACCTTGCTTACTGAAGGTGAAGAGGATTTGAAGCACTTGCTGATGAAGATCAAGGATTGAAGTCTGCAGTATGGATTACAACTCACTGTAAAGAAAATAATAATCCTCACAATTGGACCAATAGAGCACATTATGATAAATGAAGAAACAGTTGAAACTGTCACTGATTTTGTCTTGATTGGATCCATAATCAGAGCTCATGGAAGCAGCAGCCAAGAGATCAAAGGACACATGGCAGTGGGTAAATCTGCTGCAAGACCTCCCTAGGGTGTTGAAAAGGATGTTACTTTGAGGACTAAGGTGCAAGTGACCCAAGCCATAGTATCCTCCCTTGCCTCATGCGCATGTGGAAGTTGGACACAGAATAAAGAAGACGGGAGAAGAATATTGAAAGTACCATCGACTGCTAAAAGGACAAAGTGATCTGCCTTGGAAGAAGTATGGCTAGAATGCGCATTAGAGGCAAGGATGGCGAGACTGCATCGCACACGCTTTGGACGTACTGTCAGGAGAGACCAGTCTCTGGAGAGGGACACAGTGTTTGGTACAGTAGAGGGCAATGAAAAGGAGGAGGGCTCTTACAGTAGAGGCGGCAATGGTGGGCTTGAACATGGGAGCAATTGTGCAGGACGGGGCAGTGTTTCCTTGTGTTGTGCATAAGGTCACTGTGGGTCAGAACTGACTCAATGGCACCTAACAACAACAACAACAACAACAACAACAACAACAACAACAGAGAGTTACAGTCTGAGAAACCCACACAGGCAGTTCCACCGGGCCCTACAGCGTCTCCATGAGTCAGAATTGACTCGATGGCAGTGAGTTTTTAACCTGTGGGAGGAGAACACCTGGTTCTGCTCTGGCTTCTTCCCCTGTCTGAGTACGACTCAGATGCCTGGGACGGCCATCTGCGATGAGGACACTCACAGAGACCTCCACCCAGAGCTGGGACATCACCGAGGGACCTGACCGACAGCAGAAGCACTTCCTCCCGGACTTC